ATTCCTCATTCTTACTATGAGGTATTTCGAGGACTTTCAAGATTCTATAATCTTGGGGGAAGACCGTTCTGCCTCTAGTACATGAACGTTGGTTCCATTCGCGAGATTGGGAAAATTTTCAGAAAGAAAGACTTCAAAGGTAACATGATGTCAATAAAAACGTATCTATCAATAATCACTCTCAATGTGAATGGCCTAAATGTGCCCATAAAACGACACATGGTTGCAGATTGGATAAAACGACAGGACCTGTCCATATGTTGTCTACGGGAGACCCATTTCAAACCTAAGGATACCCCCAGACTGAAAGTGAAGGGGTGGAGAAGCATCTTTCATGCCAGTGGGCCTCAAAAGAAGGCCAAGGTAGCGATTCTCATATTAGATAAATTAGATTTTAAACTAAAGATTGTAGTCAGAGATACAGAAGGACACTACGTAATTCTTAAAGGGACTATCCACCAAGATGATCTAACAATTGTAAATATCTATGCCCCCAATATGGGAGCAGCCAATTACATAAGAAAACTATTAATCAAGATAAAGAATCATATTGATATGAATACATTAATAGTAGGAGATCTTAACACACCTCTCTCAGTAATACAGTAACTTTAATTTGTTTCTTTAGCTTCCTTTCTTCTTGTCTAACAGAATGGCCAGTAGGTATTTGAAACGCAGGGTGACTTGTTTCTGCAGCAAGGAAGATAGATCGGGCTCACTTTTGAGGTCATTAGGATATCAATTTATTTTTATTCTTCCTGATTGTCAAGGGGATTATACCCCTGAAACCTGACCATTAAATCTCTTGCTCCCAACTCAGTGTTTTGGTGTTTTTTGGGCATGTTGCTTTAAATGAGCCTGCATTTTCCATGCTTGGCTCTGGCTTCTAGCCATTTACTAGATGTTGACACTTGGCACAGACTCGTATCTGCTAAATGCCAAGCATGGTCTCCTATGAAAACATGGTAAGAAAAGAAACAAACAAACTATAAGGAGTGGTAACATTTGACTCTGACTTTGAATTCTGAATTCTCTGTCTCCATCACCTGCCCAAGCAGGGTAACCTTGAGCAAGTTACTTAACCTCTCTGTGCCTCAAGTTTCTTACACTGAAAGTGGGAAATTGAGTAGTTGACTACCTTATTAGGTTGTTTAAGGGATACAGTGAGTTAATGTCTGTAAAATTTAAGAACAGTATTTGGAATAGAGAAAAAAAAAAAAGACATTCAATAAAAGCCTACGATTCCTATCTTCTTTGGCTAAGTCCTATTTTTTGTCCAAATATTTGGCTCCTGACTTGCTGTGGTTTCTGCCTTAATTGTTCATCAGGGATCTAGTTTTTACTTCAGTGTGTGTGCCCATTTTACCCTCTCTTGTTGTGGTTCTCCTACTAATCTAGGTGTTTACACTTCTAATTCCTTTTTGTGGTGGAAAATAACTTGGCAGATTGTTAGGGAAATAGTACCTTGTTGTTGTCAATGATGGTTTTTTGGCATTTTAGTAGGGGTTTATAATAATGAAATAGGCTTTTGTTTTCTATAGCAACAGGGATTATTTAAAAGATAAAAGTCCTTTCCCTATGCTTATTATAGTTATGTGTACTTATTTTAAAAGATAAGAATATTTATAGAAAAGAAACTTAAAAGTGAAACACGTGTTCCCTTAATATTTATTGAATGTCTACTATGTGAGAAGATACTGTTAGGTGCTGAAACATAATTGTTTCTTAATAGTTTGGTGTATAAACTTAAACAGCTGTTTTTAAAGATCTTTGTAATCATACCAGTAATACAACTTACTGAAATAAAACTATACTTAAAAATTACTCCTTTTTTTTCTTGTTTTTCATCTCAAATTAATGTATTTTAGATGGTTTCCAAATATCGTATAAAGATCTAGTCAATTCTTAAAACTGTTGGGTGGTATTCTTTGGAATGGATGTACCATAATTTAGTTAATGCAGCTTCTTTTTTTAAATAAAGATTTTATTTATTTATTTGATATAGAGAATTAGAGAGAGAAAGCACAAGCAAGGGTAGGGGCAGAGGGAGAAGCAGACTTACTGCTGAGCAGGGAGCCCAACACAGGGCTCTATGCCAGGATTCTGGATCATGACATGAGCCCAAAGCAGCTGCTTAAACAACTGAGCCACCCAGGTGCCCCTAGTTAATGCAGCTTCTGTTAAAGAAGTCCTGATAGTTTTCAGTTATTATTACAAGCAGTGATACAATGAAATCCTTTTACAGATATCTATATGGCATATGTGTTCCTGGAGAATAAATTTTTAGAAGTGGAGTTGCTGTATCAGATGATGTATTAATTTGGACTCTTAGATTACTCTTCTATAAACATCAACTTTCTTGACCATTCCCCCCCCTTTTTTTTTTATCAACACTAGATATAATTATTCTGTATGCTCTGTTTTTTTCTGTTTCATTGTTTTTTTTTTTTTTTAAAGATTTTACTTATTTATTTGACAGACAGAGATCACAAGTAGGCAGAGAGGCAGGCAGAGAGAGAGAGGTGGAGGCAGGCTCCCTGCTGAGCAGAGAGCCTGATGCAGGGCTCGATCCCAGGATCCTGGGATCATGACCTGAGCTGAAGGCAGAGGCTTAACCCACTGAGCCACCCAGGCACCCCTCATTGTTTTAATTTGAATAACAAAATAATTGAGATAAGGCTTTCTTTAACATCTTTATTGGCCAGTTATTTTTTATACGACTGTACTATGTTTAGGTCCTTGGCCCAATTTTCTATTGGATTTTTTAGTTTATTGAATATTAGGACCATTTGTCAAAAGTTGGGTTTTTTTTTGTTTTTGTTTTTTAGTATACACTATATCTTGCTTCATATCAGCTTTTAATTTACAGGTAGATTTCTTAATCTTTCTTATGGCATCTTGGTTTTGTTTTATTCCTTTCCCAAAAAGAATAAGAAGAAGTCTCTGTGTTAGTAGTACTTTCTGATTTTTATTATAATCAAGATTAATGATTTGTTTCCTTTTTTTCTTTTCCCTTTTCATTGTGTTCTTAGATTTTGGTCTTCAATTTGGCATATACAACTTTAGCAAATACTTTGGAACCTTGGTGTGTTATTATTTACTATGGAGCAAAATAGAGTATAAGGTGGGACTGTATTGGACCCTGCTTGATTGAAATCCAGTTTTTATTATAAGCACTCATACTTGGTACCAGTTTATAAGAAGAGTGATCCACAGTCCCTGTTTGCCTCAGAATAGTCTGTTTAACCTTTTTACCAGTGTAACTTTTAATAGACTCCTTTTTCACTCTCAAAAAGTACCTCAGTCTAGATGAAAAATTACAAGGATTATAAAGGATGGTTATTTACATCGATAGTTTTTTAGAATATTTTAATATTTAAGGCTTTAGTTGTTTCTGTTTACTTTATTCCTCTAATACTTAGAAATACTTCATTTGGTTTAGCTTTTTTTTTTTTTTTAAAAGATTTTACTTATTTATTTGAGAGAGAATGAGTGAGAGCATGAGAGAGGAGAAGGTCAGAGGGAGAAGCAGACTCCCCAAGAAGCTGGGAGCCCGATGTGGGACTCGATCCTGGAAGTCCGGGATCATGACCTGAGCCCAAGGCAGTCACTCAACCAACTGAGCCACCCAGGCGCACCTTGGTTTAGCTTTTTAAAAAATCTCTTATTTCTCTTATTTTCATGATGAACAAAGTTACAGAATTGCTTATGTGAGGTATTTGTAGAGCAGTGAGTTTAGTGTATACCTTCTTGACCTTCATTCCAGTATCCAGAATAATGTTTACTTTTTGAACAAAGTGTCCTAAACGTGTTGAAGCATTTGTCTATGCGTGTGCTTATGTTTTGGTTATACTTTACTAACTACGTGATAAGATCTCTTTGTGTGAATATGACCAAATCTTTTAACCTGGCCAAATAAACCTTCCTTTATTGTATTGTTTTTTGGTGTTCGTGCTATCCACCTGTATGAATTAGTTTATACTTGGATCATAGGCTTTCTAGTATGCTAAGTAATAACTGTTCTTCACACCGATCCCGGTGGGATTCACTTAATGCCAGTCCCTATTGTACTGTAACAACGTTGATAAGACATTGGTTCTTGCTATGAGCCAAACAGATTTTTATCTAGCTTATCATTCAGGTAATACTTCTTCAGACTTTTCTTATATAGTACTCTGTCAGAGTCCTTGTTATAATGTAGGTAAGTTGTACCCATTGTATTTCCTTTCTCCACCAGCTCTGTTACCACTTAAAAAAAATTTATACAGCTTACAGTTACTCATTTTCATCACTAATGGAGTGCTGTAACTCAACCAGTTGTATTCTTTCTGCAACTGTTACTTTATATTATGGGATATTTTATAAAGTTGCCATTTGAAAAAGCCAAATAGTTTAATCTTTCCTTTAGTCAAAAATATTTGTACTTATGAATTCCTTTAGTCAAAAATATTTATGCTTACGAATTCCTTTAGTCAAAAATATTTGTACTTATGAGTATATCTTTAAAACCTTAAAATTTTCTTATATTTCTAGTTGTTTGGTGTTTGTATCATAATATATATATTTCTCAGTGTTATATATTGATATAAATATATATCTGACTCTTGATTTCATTGTTAGCATCACTAATAAAATATTAATATTTGAGAATGTTAATTTCATGATTAGAATATCACATAGGAATTTCTAACTGTGTTACCATTAGCTTTAAAATTTTACCCTCTTGGGATAGAGTTATTTATATATAGGTATTTTCAATTTCATACTATATAAACTGTGAATAGGAATTTTCATAAAATGTTTATGCTTTGAGAATATATTTATCTAGGCACTAAAGATAAACTATATTAATGAAATGTCTACTGTTTTTTTGCAATGGGCATAATATAAGCAGAAGTTTGTTTTATTAGACACATTGTCATGTTTCTTTCTTTATAATACATAAATAGCAAATATATAATACAGTGTTCTTCATTTTTATTTTTGTGTTTCTTCTGCAGAGAGTGATAATGAACTCTCAAGTGGAACAGGTGATGTGTCTAAGGATTGTCCTGAGAAGATCTTGTATTCTTGGGGAGAACTGCTAGGAAGATGGTAAAATTTATTTTTTGTATATTGAAAATTTTATATTTACATAGTTGATGTTAATTTGTCTTATTAATTAAAATATGTATGTTTACCTTAGTATTTTAATGTACTTTAAAAACATAAAAGTTAAAACATAATTCATGAATACTCTATGTTTGGCTGGGTCTTCCATCCAGTATGGTTTTATTTAACTTACTTTTGGAAGATACATTTGCCTTATTATTTAATTTAGAAATAACATTGCCCAGAGTTGTCACCTATGTGCTTTATTGCTAAAACATGTAAATATCTATTGTTAAGGGGTTATATTTCCTTTCTCTGCTAAATCTATTACCCTGAAAAGGGGCTTTACTGCTTAGAATTACTCATTTCACCACTGATTATAAACGGTAACCAGTCTGTTTTATTCTTTCTGACTAAAACTGTTACTTTATATTTTGGAGTATTTTATCTAGAACTACAAAAAAGGATACTTTGTTTATACTTATTATGAATATTCTGTTTATATCTATTACAGGTAAGTTTTTTAAAGAGGTAATCATAACTATAATTTGTTAGTAAAATTTAAAAATCTTGCCAACAAATGATTCTGCCATACCATTATATAGAAACTACCATTTATTATTGAGTATACATATCAAATTACATGCATGCTGGTGGTCCAGAAGAAGCTGCTAAGTCTGGGAAGAATTTCAGACATTTTATATGGTAAAGTAGAAGAACAAAGAATTAAAACTTTATCTTTTTAAGAGACAAACAAATGCTTCTTATGATAATCTCCTATACACCTCCTGAGAGATTCCTGATTTAATTTAGCAGATTATTTATGGTTGTGAGGATTGGAAAGCTCAGGCTTTCTCACTGTAAAATCTGGAGAGTAGTTTTGTCAACTTTCTGATCGAAGTGCCAGATCTTTTATATTTTAAGGAGTTGCCCTAAGAGTAAGGGAGGGCTTGCTGCCTCCCCTAATTAAACAAAGAAAATTTAATCTTATTTATCTCATACATACAGATGTAAAATGAACGCATCTTAGAGAGTTTATTTAACTCATTGATTAATGGGAGCCATTAAGATATTAGAACCAATCAAGTGAGAATTCAGTTTAGAGATTTATATTCTCTTCCTAATAATTCACTTGCATTGTCATGAATAGGAATTATTTTCATGGCTGTGGACAAAAAACTTATGCACTGTTACCAGTTTTCTGCACATCTGTTGAGAGTTGTAAATTTGCCTAAAGACAAAGGCATACACCTCTGTCATATCAGATAATTCCCAAAAGGGGCAACATAGAAAAGGTGTTCAGTAGTCTCTTTAACCCCATTTCAAAAACCTTTCACAATTTTTCCCTATACTATATCCAGAAGCTAATTGACTCATGTAAGCATTGACCACCTTCCTAAATTTATCTCGTATATTTTTACTGATTTCATGTAGTGTTATTGCCCCATTTAAGATGAATTTTCATTTTCTATGGCCCTGAATTAGTGTTAAGGTTATCCATGACACTTGTTAAAGGTGATAAGGACGACTTTATTCCGGGAGGGGGAGCTATCACGATAGGTATAGGAATCACTGAAATGGGGTCTTGCAGTAGGGGAGAGGGATTGGGCTGAACTCCAGATACAGCAAGGAACAGTGCAAATTTATAGCCAAGGAGAGGGTGGATGTCAGCAGATGGAAAGTGACTGAGAGGAAACATCAGAGGTGAAGGGGTTCCTGACTAAATTCACCTCACAAGATTCTTGCTTAAGGTGGATAAGGGTGATCAGACATCACCTGAGGATGGCAGAAGATGAGGAACTCAATTAGAAATCAAGGGTGATCAGATACTGAGGGGGGCGGGGTCCTGGCTAAACTGACTTAGTAGGATTCTTGCTAAAAATGGACAATGCAGAGATGAACATGGAAGCTTCCAAGTCAGGGCCTGTTTGAGGAAAGAGTTCAGGTGAGCCTGAGTAGAGCTCTGTGAAAAAGAGAATCTTTGTCATTAGTTAATAGGATTTTCTAGGACAGTTATATCTTGGGAGTGGGAAAGGGGTGCTGGTCAGAGCAAGAAGATTGTTAGAGTCCAGTTGGGAAAACAGAAGCCCTGCCATCCTTTTCAGCTAGAGGGGTATTAATGCAAGTAATTGGTTTCTAGTGTGTTAGAATGCTGAACGACAGAAAGAGGGCATTGAAAATTCCAAATAGTAGGAAGCAGCAGTATCCTCTAGAGGTGGAGAAATAAAATGGAAGAGGTATTGTGAACAGAATCTAGGAACTCAGTGGAGGTTTCCTGAGGAGCTGGTGCAGGGACCTCTGAAGAAGGCTGCCCAGCTGGTTGCTTAGGTGCTGAGGATGCTCAGAGCAGCTAGGGTTTATAAGGAGCTGTGAGGGGAGGGGACATTTTGTTAGTTCCTGGCTTCTAAAGAGTTACCCAGGCCTCTGAGCTGGTAGGGAGACCCTATGTGATTGGTGCTGGTATGTCCTAGAGCATCTCGCAGGTATCAGTAATTCTCAGGAGTCGTGATATGGCTGCTACTGGCAATGCCAATCCTTCTTTTCTTCTATCTTTCGATCACATACCATTGTTAACTTATTGGCAGAACCTAATTTGGAAACAAAGTTTTACAAGGTTGTAGGATACAAGGTAAATATGCAAAAATCGATCTTACTTCTATATTCTAGCTATGAAAAATTGGAAATAGAAATTTAAAACCACATAAAAGCACTAGGAAAAACCCCTTGAAACATTTAGGTAGAAATTGAAGAAACTGTTACTAGATCTATACATTGCAGAAGTAGAAAACAGTAATGAAAAAAATCGAAGAAGACCTCAGTAAGTGGAAAAATATACCATGTTTATAGAATGAAAGTCTCAGTATCATTAAGATTTCCCTTCTGGCCATACTAGTCTTTGGGATCAATATAACTTCAATCAAAATCCTAGTGGAATTTTTTTTGGGTACCAACTGAATAGCTGATTCTAAAATGTGTGTAGAAAAGCGAAGTAACTGGAATTGCCAGAACACTTAAAAATGAAGAACACATTTGGGAGACTCATACTGCCTGATTTCAGGGCTTACCATCAAGCTACAGTAATCAAGATATTATTGATGAAAGGACAGACACATAGATCAAAGGTGCAGAATAGACAGTTCAGAAATAGAGCTACACAATGTAAATTAGACATTTCTCCAGAGAAGACATACTGATGCCCAGCCGGCACATAAAAGGTGCTTAACATCATTAGCCATTAGGGGAATACAAACGGAAACCACAATGAGATACCACCTTACATCTACTGGGTTACATGTAATAAAAAAGACAAATAATAACAAGTGTTGGCAAGGATGTGGAGAAATCGACGCCCTCTTACACTGATGATAACAGTGTAAAATGGTGCAGCAGCCATTTTGGAGAACATTCTCGCATTTCCTCAAAAGGTTAAATATAGAGGTAAGATATGGCCTAACAATCCCACTCCTACTAATATACCCAATAGAAATGAAAGCATATGTCTACACAAACACTTGTGCACAAATGCTGAATGTATCATTATTCATAATAACCAAAAAGAGGAACAGATCCGAATTCCATCAAGTAATGAATGGATAAATAAACATGGTATATACATACAATGGGATATTATTCAGCAATAAAAATAAAGTACCGGTACATCTAAAACATGCATGACCCTTCAAAACATCATGCTGCGTGAAAAAAGAAAATCCGAAAATAGCAATGTGTGATTTCATTTATATGAACTATCAAGAATAGCCAAATCTGTAGAGATAGAAAGTAGGTGAGTGGTTGTCCAGAGCTAGAGAGAGGATTTAAGGAAATGGAGAGTAAACGTTAAGAGGTACAGGGTTTCTTTTTGGGGTAGTGAAAATGTTCTAGTTGAATGTAATGGCTATACAACTGTGTGAATATATCAAAACCATTGAATTAAGTACTTTAAATGGGTGAATTGTATGGTATATGCATTATATCTTGATATAGCTGTATACAAAAATATACACATATATGGCCTATTGATTGTAAGCAAAGGTTTAGTTGAAATTCAATGGAGAAAGGATAATCTTTTTAGTAAATCATGCTTAACAATTAGATATATACATGCAAAAAAATAAAAACAATAAAAATAAATATTGGGGCATACCTTGTCCCATATTGAAAATTAACTCGTACTGGGTCATAAACCTAAATATAAGAGCTAAAGTTATAAAAGCTATAGAAGAAAACATAGGAAATCATTGTGGCCTTTGGTTAGGCAGAAATTTCTTAGATATGAACTCAAGGGAATGATGTTGGAAAGAAAAAAAAATTACAGATTTGATTTAATCAGAACTAAGAACTTTTGTTCTTCAGAAAACATTCAGAAGAATGAAAAGCTACACACTGGGAGAGAATATTTGTAAAACTGATACCTGGATAAAAGACACATATCTAGAATATTTAAAAAAAATCTCAAAACTCAATATTAAAGAAAAACCAAAAACCAAAAAAAACCCACTTAAAAATAAGCAAAAGGTCCAAACAGATACTTCACCAGAGAAAATATTTTTTATTACAAATAAGCCCATGAAAAAATGCTAAACAACATTCGTCACTACACACATATTAAAATGACTAAAATAAAAAAGCAAAACAATAGCGAAAAGCACTGTGATACCAAGAGCTACAAAGGATGTGTAGCAACTGTAGCTCTCATGTTTTGTTGGTGGAGGTGCAGAATGGTGTAACTGTTTTGGAAAGTTTGGCATTGTCTTATAAAGTTGAACACATACTTACTATAGTACCCAGCAATTCCATTGTCACTCCTAGGTATTTACCCAAGTGAAATGAAAACCTGTGTACTAAAGTCTGCAACATCTTTGTTCATAATTGCCTCCAACTGGAAGCGTGGATCAACTAAGTGGTACATGGAGTCCGGGGAGTATTCCTGAGCAATTAAAAGAATGAACTACTGAGGCTCCTGGGTGGCTCAGTTGTTAAGCCTCTGCCTTCAGCTCAGGTCG